CCCCCCCGCTTCTCTCTCCTGGGCAGAGGCCACAAACATTTTTCAGCTGGGAAGCCCTGGGTCTGGCTTTGCCTCTGGTTTGACCCTGAAAAGAAAGATACGTGCAAAAGTGCCTTGGCCACCCCACAGCCGAGGAGGAGGAAGGGAATCTGTGTAGCAGCCCTGCTCTTGATCTCAAAGGCAGAAACAAGGAAGGATTCACCCTTGGCTTCAAGTTGCTAAGGCTATGGATGCCCTTCCCCCTCCACCCCACTCTGCTTACTGATAAACAAGCAGGCAGGAGCCATTTCAGCACTGCAGCAAGCTGGGCTGCCAGCCTGTCCCTCGTCATCAAGATTACCTACCTACCGGCCGGCCGGGAGCCAGCCGCCCGTCCTTGCCCTGGTGCAGCCTTGGGCACTCTGCCCTCCTTTCTCTCCTGAAGCTCACAGTCACCTTGAAACTCCCCACCCGCAGCACCAGGAGAGTTCTGAGGCCATGCGCAGACCTGTAACAGTAAATTACATTATCCACTATGAGGCTCTTAGCTTGGCCTGTGAAAGCGGGTTTTGCCAAACCCATGGTTAATTTTGAGGGCTCTGTTGGGGGTGGACAAAAATCTAATTTGTGAGTATCCTGCGCCTTGGCTAAGGGCGACGTTTTCCTGTTGTTTCTTCTCTGCAGACTCGGATTATCTTTCCTTGAGGTTAACTGTCTTAGGACTGGCTGGGCGTTTGGTGGCCGTTTTCAGGCTTATTAAACAGCCTTTTTATTTGACTTTGGCCTCAGGCTGGGGTGCAGCCCTTCAGATGCCTGCTGCCCTGGAAGCACTTTTCATTTTCCCTATCTACTCTTTGGTAGGGATGCAGAGCTGGTTTCTCATCTACTAGAAAGGGGGAATGGGCTCCCCCCCGCCCCGCAGCCTGCACCCTTTTAACAGTTTGGTTGTTTGCGCAGACACCTGTCTGTCTGCACTTTATGCCACAGGGCTGCCTAATTCCTCACCTTCCACCCACCTAATTCGAGGGCAAGGGGGCCTCATTTTAGAGCCTCACGTTGAAGGCTGAGGATCTGAAAGGGAAGGGTTTTCCTTAGGAACCTGTGACTTAACAAACTCCCCCTGTCACTGCAGATTTTTTTTTTCCAGCTTCTAAACGCTGGGTTGTTGGTGTCCTTTGGTTGAGCTTTTCCTAGTTCTGATATTTAGGAAGGTGGCTTTGAAACTAGCAGGGCTGCTTAAGCAAGAGCTACAGCTATTGAACAAACTGCTACCATTTTAGCTTCAATACAGGAATGAGGCAGTGTTGCCAGACGCCATTTTAAGAATCCTGCATAAATAGCTTAGCTACCGATGACTCTGCCTGTTTTAGGTGAGTGCTTATATAAAGCTGCTAACCATTCCCTCCCCTCCCCCCAATTTTTAAAGAAATTAATTGCAGATTTAGGGCAGCATGGTGTTTTGATTTTAATGTTCACTATTTTGTGATCTAGGAGAGGAAAGATGTTTGTGTCTTGGGGATGAAATATTTCTTACAGCCTGGACCACTTTGGTATTTTGAATGAAAGTAAAAAGCTGAAGGAAAAGTCCTTTCGAATGATTGCATGATTCTTGAATTGCTGTGTGTGATCATCATCAGCTGTAGCCCCAGACTCTTGTGCATGCTGGTTATATATTCTAGAGGGGTTAGATATTCTTGGTTAACAGTCAAGTAGGGGCACTTGGGGAAAAGAAATATCTGGGCATTGTGTTTCCAGGCAGTTTTGTGTCCAAACTAGATGTTTTCTCTTTTCTCTCTCTCCTGGAAGTGTTGAGGGGATGGGATTCCTGGGGAATGACGGACCAGCCTTGAGTCTTCAGAATTAAAAATCAGAAGGCTTAAAACATCCTGGAGCTTTTAATTGCCCTTTTCTGCAACTTTTAATTTGCTCTTTTCCAGTGCATGCAGGTGAAGAAGGAAGCAGAGGTTTTCTTGCTCAGGCATTGGGGGGAAAATCTCTTATTCTTTCTGGGACGGGATGGGATGGTCTTGGTTGTATGTGCAGGCGCCTGTTATTTCTTCTTTAATTGCCTGAAATGTATCAGTTTGTGAAATCCAGGGGCAAGTGACTTAGGGGAACCCTTGAGTGCAAGAGGTGATGGTGGTGGGAACATACAATGTATACAACTAGTTGATGGTGTATTGTCCTGTTGGGGTGAGAATTTTTTAGCTAATTTTACCCTTTCCTTTGGCGGGCCCCAGCCTCCCCAGCTGACCTTAAAAAAAAAAAAAAAAAAAAAGTAATGTCAGTTTGAAACAAGGGTTGCTTGTTCCATTGTTTTGGATTTAAATAATTGGGGTTGCTGGAAGCCAGCAGATATGGAAGGAAAAATGCTGTGTATTTTTTAATAGACTTTAATGTGTTAATGAGGAGAGTTCAAAGTCTTTTCTTCAGACGCAGCTGCTTTTTCTTTTTAACAATTATTATTTGACTGTTTTTTTTTTTTCCCCTCCAAATGACGGAACAGTTCTTAACCTAAATTGACCAAGATCTGTGGGGCATTCAGACAGGTACAAATCTTTTCTCACCACCACTTTTGATGTAATAGTCATAGTTTTTTTTTTTTTCCCCTAATAACATACTAGTACTTAACACTAAACCAGAAAAGCAAAAAAAAAAAAATGAGATCAGTGGTGTAGAAAAAAGGAAGTCCCTTTAGATGTGGCTATTCAAAATGACTAATTTTGCATTCTGGTCTTTGCTTTTGTAAATGAAGTTTAAAAAAATTTTTTTCCTCTAGATGCATAGACATTGCAATTTCCTTTAGTCAAATACAAGTTATTTTTTGTGTGTGTGTGTGTGTGTGTGTGTGTATGCATATGCATGTGCATGCATAGGTTCCCTTTGAAAGGGTGGCTTGCTGATCTGTGAAAAAGATGGTTTTCTGAAATTGTCGTCCTTCAAACCCTTGGCTAAATCCTGGTGGTGCTATTGCTAAAGTTAGGTGGTTATGGTGCCCGCTTTGTAATACTTGGAAAGATAAAACAGCTTAACTTTCTTTACCCTCTTTTCTGCTCCAGAATTATCTTGAACTCAGCAGCATATAGCCACCCCATCGCTAGTTTGCATTTTCTTAGCCTCTCAGCAGCTTTCCTGCCTGAAGTATTCAGCCTCCTCTAGGCTGTTACAAGCCAAATAATTGTTCTCTTGAATGCAGCCCAACTCCATGATCTATACACCTTTGAATGTTTTCAGCGCTGCAGAAATCCTTCAAGTGGGTTTGGGGGAGTCTGTAATGCATAATTGTTTCTTTTCACTACCAAACATTTTGGTTGGATCCCAGATTAGCGTTTTCTCCATCACTCAAAATATGGGATCGGTTTCAAGAAGTTTAGGGTTTCACATACTTCATGCTAGAGAGGGGAGCAGAATTCTAGTTGCTGGAAAGATCAGGGTTGCTGTTTGTTCTTTTGAAGCTGACCATCTCCCCCTCTTTGAAGGGGCCGCATGGGGCTTTCTGTTAAAATTTATTTCCAGTCACCCCAAGCAAAAAACCATCAGCAGTATCCATTTGGACAGTCTGGGTAAGTTGCAGGCAGGGTGTGTTTCTGAGTTGAGCTTGTTTGCCTCTTAAGTTGGAGTAAAAAGTATCAGTGCTAAAATCACCTGCCACAAATCACGGTTGTATTAGTGCACGTTATCGACATGTTTAAATTTCAGAAGCAGTGTCTTCTGATGAAAACCATTTGTGACAACATGTCTGTTGTTTCTTAGGTGATTTGTGTCCCAGGCTTTCTCTACAAAGGCAGTGTGGATGAAATTTTCAACGGGGTTCAATATCAGAGACCTAAGTGTGTTAACATTCTGATTTAAAAGCACACTGCTTTTCTGTTTCTTCTCTCTGCTGGGACCAGTGAAGTTGGAGGCCTTTAAGTTCTTCTAACTTAATTCTCAGCTCTCGTCTCTTCCTTTCTATCTAGTCCCATCAAACACGGAACTCTCCTAAATGCAGCTCCATCTGACCCAGAGGTTCCAGGACTTTTGGGACTTACCTTTTGTCTCGTCACAGTCCCAGACCGCGAAACACAGAAGGGACATTCTAATCCTTCCTGCCTTACCCAGCGTCCCCCCTGTCCTGGTTTTTGAGTCTTCCAGGTGGAAGATTTCAGCCATCTCAGTTGGAGATGCCCCCATTTCTTCTCGTTGAACCACAGTCCGATGGAATTGCATCTGGAATAATTGCTCAGGTTCTTATCACTTCGTCGTCAGCCTAATGCCTGGAAAGTTCCAGCACCTCAAACTGTTGGCACTTAGGAAAGCAGAACTTTTCCTGGCTTGGCCTGAGAGGTGTGTGTATGTCCGTGGGGAAGATGGGGAAATGGCCTGCACCCTGTTCAGCGGGGAGTTCCAGCCGAGAGAGCGAGAGAAGATTCTGGTGGCTGGCCCAGCGGAGCGGCCTGTTTTCCTTGCTTCTTATCCCAGCCCCCAACTCTCATCCTGTCTTTTAAATAATCCTTCCTCATTCCACTTTTGTGGTGGGGATAATTAGTCACAGCTCAAAAGAGTGCTGAATGCTTTCTCTAAGCCGTGCCTGCTACAGAGAGGAAATATCCCAGGGGTTGGGAGTGTGGAGACCCCAGTTCTAATTCCTGGGCTAAGTGCTGGTGGTTTGAATGTTTTGAGACCAGGCCTTTTGCTTCTAGCCTGAGCATATTTTTCTACTTTGTAGCTTAACCTATATATTTTTTCATGTTCCTGCCTCGTCGGGAAAAATAGTAAGATTTAGCCCAGAGGTCTGGGAAAATACTCCTTGTCTTGCAGAATTCAGAGATCTGAACTCCAGGTACCCCGAAAACCACCTCCAACCTGAACCCAGTGTTAACAATGAGAAACTTATTTACTTGAAGGCTGGGTTTTCATTGGTCCATGGGGGTAGATTGTAATTGTGTGTCTTAAAAAGGCCTTTTGCATCTTCCAATAGCATGACAACTGGAATAGTAATTTGACTTCAGGAACAAGCTCGTGTTTAAAAACACTCCTATAGGACTCTTAACACTTTGTTTGATATCAGGGTGTGGGTTCCTTTCCCCCTACCCTTGGAAGATTGTCTGGAAAATGTGGGTTTGTTGTTAGAACTTCTAAATAACCGCCCCCATGGGGCAAGTTCTCAGTCTACCTAAACGTGAACATAATTTGCTCTGTTTCAGCTTGGCTGAGGAGGAAATAAAAACAGAACAGGAGGTGGTGGAGGGCATGGATATCTCTACTCGCTCCAAAGGTAAGTAAAAATCTCGAATTATCTATCCAGAGCAGAGGAGGAAATTGGAATTTCTTTTTCTTGTTGTTTCAATGCAGTGAAGTGTGGCTTACGAGTCGAGGCTCTAACACTCCTCCGATTTTGAGAGGTTGGCACCTTTGATGGATGAACCTCATTTATACAGAAATCTCCTTTTGATTTGCTTTCCCTTGGTGTGTCTGTGTAGGTGTTCTGACCTGTCGGAAGTTGTCCCGACAGTAAATTTTACATGTGAGTGTCATGACGGAGGGCGGCTGGCTAGCTCTCTGCAGGGTGACTTTCGGGAATCAATTTAAATAAAGCATGTTCTAGAAGCAACTGGAGTCTCCAGCCGCTGCTAGGTTTCTGATTTCAGTAACAGGCCTCTTTGGAATCGCAGAGGTGGAACGAAGGTGACCCACTTCCTTGGTAAACGTTGGTCTTGGTTAGAGATGAAAGGGAAACGTTAGGACTTCCTGGAATGCTGGGGCCAGTGTTTGCATGTAGGACAGAATTGTGCAAATCAGAGTAAACATGGTATGTGCTTCTATTCAGAATCCTGTGTTAGAGCTCCTCAAGGATCTTCTAAATTGAGGCATTGGTACTTTTTGATTGGTCTGTGTGAGATTTCATGAGGTTTCCCACAAGGAAGCAATTATTCACATTTGCCTTCAGGGTGCTTTTAGAAATGAGCTGCCGGAACATTTCTCACCTCTTTGGTTGATGAAAATGCTCATCTCAGTTGTTGTACCACGGTGGTATTCTTTGAACAAGTCGCTGAGTACCTGTGCTGGGGTCTCGGGGCGGGGGAGGTGGGAAGGACTAGACAGAGGGTGAGTAGACTCGGCCAGAAAGACTCCAATCCAGCCCAAGAGCTTTTTGAGGATTTTGATAAGACAGCGTGTCGCTGTGGGCAAAGATGAGGGTCGGATAGTGGTGGCATGGTGGCGACCTGGGAAGCAGGGGCTGGCCGTTGTTGCTGCCTGACTTGCCTGATGGGAGCCTGGGCCTGGTTCAGAGAGGAGGGGAGGCCCCTCAGGTGGACAGGCCAGGCTGTCTGGGTGGGTGGTCGGTGCCTGGGGCGGTGGGTGGGGGCCCAGTTGGAGGGCTGCTCCCCTTCACCAGAGCACCCCCCGCCCCCAGCCCAGGCTGGGCCCGCAGCACCTCTGATGGTGAGGAGAGCCACAGGGGAGTCTGAACAAGAGGTGTTTGGAGACAGTTGCTGATGGGGAAGCCTGTCTCAGTCCCCCCCTTTGGGGTCAGAATTGAGTGTGGAGAAGGGAGCCCAGAGAACAAGAGCTGGGAGCCTGGCTCGCGGTCCTTGCTCTGCCGCTCACTTGGACACGTTCTGGCTCTGCCCCTGTTTTCTTATCTGTGAAACGGGCTGTCAGATGAGATTCTAAGATTCCTTCCACCTTGGGCTTACTCTTGTAAAAGTAATACTTGCTAGCGGCATTTATGAAGGCTGTGCTTGTAGGGTCCAGGAGCCTTTTCTTACCTGGCAAGAGATGGGAGGTGGTGTTCCCATTTTGCCGTTGAGGAAACCAAGCCTCCGAGTGGTAATGTCTCCCAGGTAGAAAGTGTAGGATGGACTCGAACTGAACCGAGGCTCGGACTCCAAGGAGGTGCTTCTTTCCTGAGCCCTCAGTGCCTGGAAGGCCCTGGAGCCCCGTTGTGGAGACTTCTCCAAAAGGGTCAGAATCGGGGACCGTCAGCCAGAGCAGGAGGCCTGTTCAGCTCAGGCCCTTTCCTCTGCGTGTGGAGACCCCTCTTCTCGTCCCCTTGAGCGTGGAGACCCCGCTTCTTGTCTTCTTTCAGACCCCCAGGTGCTCCTAGCCCTTCACCTTCTGTGTCTGGGCCGTCCGAGGTGTGACCACTCTGGGGTCATCATAATCCCTAATCCGCCCCACCGCATCCTCTCCCGACAGCCAGGGCGATCTTGGAAAAACACTCCATCAGGTACATCTCATCTAGCTGAGTCCCTCCACTGACCTTCCAGCACCCTCAAGCTCCAGTGTGAAGTGACTGTGACCAACCTGCCTTGGCCTGACCCCTTCAGCTTCCTTCACTTTTGTTTACCTTGTGACAGACGCTCTGTGCACCTGACCCCACTTGAGCTCCCCAGCCTCCCTCCCCTCCGTCCTCTCCTGGGGCCCCTTTGCTGGGATCGCCGCCCTGGGTCCTGCTGCCTGGTTCAGGTCTCAGCTTCTTCTCAAACGTCAGCTCCTGAGGGAGGCCTTCAGTGGCCACCCTGTCCACAGGAGCCATTCCATCATTTTCTGTTATGTTTTTAAAAATAAACTTCTAATTTTAGAGCAGTTTTAGATTTAGATTTCCAGGTAAGTTATGAAGCTAGTGCAGTGTTCCCATACCAGCCCCCGACGCACACACACATAGTTACACACACACACACACACAGTTACAGTTTTTGCCCTGTTATTAACACCATACATTGGTCTGGTCCATTTGTCACAATTAATGAATCGGTGTGTTACTACCAACTAAAGTTGATGCTTTGTTCAGGTTTCCTTAGTTTTTCCACTAAGATCCCTTTTCTCTTCCAGCACCCCATCCAGGAGCCCACATGACATTTAGCTATCGTGTCTCCTTAGACTGTGTCAGTTTGTTAGACTTTCCTTGTTTTCGATGGCCTTCCTAGTTTGGAGGAAAACTGCTCAGGTGTTTTGTAGGATGACCCTCATTTGGGGTTTATCTGATGTTTTTCTCATGGTTGGATTGGAGTAGGCCGGAATTATGGGTTTTTGAGAGGAAGACCTTAAAGGGCTGTTTCCATCACATCATATCAAGGGCATACATTATGAACATGATTTATCACTGGTGGTGTTGACCTTGATCACTTGGCCAAGGGAGCGTTTGTCAGGTTTCTCCCCTTCCTCTTCGGAAGGAAGTCACGGTGCCCGGCCCACACTTACGAAGTGTGGGGAGCCATGCTCCAGCTTCCGAAGGCCAGAGTATCTACATAAATTATTTCATGTTGCTCTATATGGGAGATTTGTCTTGTTTCTCCCATTTATTTGTTCAGCCACTTATTTATATCAGCAAGGACTCAACAGTTTTATACTTTGGGTTTTGTATTACTTATTTTGTTGCTCAAATGGTTCTAGCTTTGGCCACTGGGAACACTTTCAGTCGGCTCTTGTGTCCCTTTGATGTCATTGTCGGTTGATTGATTGATTGATTGATTGGACACTTTCTTAATTTCTGGCACTGCAGGATGCTCTAGGCTCATCTTGTATATTTTCCCTAAGGCCCCTGGTGGTTATTGGAGAATGGCCTTAGAAACCAAGATCTGGGTGCTGGATATGCTCATTGCTGCTGAGGTGTCTTTGCTTCTAGGTTCTGTCAGCTGACAGAGCAAAGAAACATATATATGTGTATAGGAACCCACATGTATACACACCTATAAACATTTCTATCTGTATCTCTGTTAAATTGAGTTCATACACTTGTCTCCAGTTCTGATCCATTACCACATAGATCATTCCAGCCTTCTCCCCTTACTTATCTATAATTTCCCACTCCCACAGTGAGAAAGTGGCTCCTACCATCTGCCATTCTTTACCGTTTTGTGGTATACTTAAAATCGTGTTCAGCTTGGTGAGCTTTAACACGTGTATACACTTATGGGACCACGGCCCAGATCAAGTTAGTTGAACATTCCTGGCATTCTGAAAGGCTCTTGGTAGCCCCTTGTCCATGACCTTGTACTTCTATTTATTTGTTTGTTGATGGTCTCTTCTGCTACAGTGTCAGGCTCCTTCTCTCTCCAGGCCCTACACCACCATGGTCAACCTCTCCCTCCCATTTGAGAGGCAGGATGGCGTGGAGGTTTAAGAAAACCTGGCTTGGGCTTCCCTGGTGGCGCAGTCGTTGGGGGTCCACCTGCCGATGCAGGGGACATGGGTTTGTGCCCCGGTCTGGGAAGATCCCACGTGCCGCGTCCGTGGGCCACGGCTGCTGAGCCTGCGCGTCTGGAGCCCGTGCTCCGCGACGGGAGAGGCCGCAACAGTGAGAGGCCCGCATACCGCAAAAAAAAAAAAGAAAACCTGGCTTCTGGAGTCAGACTCCCTGGGTTTGCATTCTGGCTGCCCTCTGCCTAGCTGTATTTGTGGTGCAGTTTCCCCTTGTACATGGAGATGATAAAAATGGAGGATTATGGTTGAGATTAAACTTGATCGCTTGTGCAAAGCACCCAGAACAGTGCTGGGACACGGGGACTGCTCAGAAATGTTAGCCATGATTAGAATCAGTTGAGCAGGGATGAGCTGGTGTTGATAAGCCTATCAGGTGGAAACCCTACTCACCAAGTTCTGCTGCTTTCCCTGCTTCCAGCCTCCAGGAAGAGGGCATGGAGGTAGTTAATGAAGAATTGTATAATACAAAATATATAATGTTTATATAACTGAATATCAAAAAAACAAACAACCCAATCAAAAAACGGGCCGAAGACCTGAATAGACATTTTTCCAAAGAAGACATACAGATGGCCAACAGGCACCTGAAAATATGCTCAGCATCGCTAATCATCAGAGAAATGCAAATCAGAACAACAGTGAGCTATCACCTCACACCTGTCCGAATGGCTGTCATCAAAAAGTCTACAAATAATGAGTGTTGGTGAGGATGTGGAGAAAAGGGAACCCCTGTGCACAGTTGGTGGGAAGGTAAATTGGTGCAGCCACTACGGAAAACAGTATGGAGGTTCCTCAAAAAACTAAAAATAGAACTACCATGTTATAGCAGTTCCACTCCTGGTTGTATATATATATGAAAAAAAGAAAAGTAATTAAAAAAGACACGTGCACCCCAATGTTCGTAGCAGCACTATTTACGATACCTAAGACATGGAAGCAACCCGTGTCCATCAACAGATGAAGGGTTAAAGGAGATATATGTGTATACATGCGCGCGCGCACACACACACACACACACACAGTGGAATATTACTCAGCTATAAAAAAAGAATGAAATTCTGCCATTTG